AGTTCTCCTCTTGGGATCTACAAAGCATCTGTGCACTTTCACAGCAACGTGAAAGAACAATGCTTTGCCCGAGAAGCACAGCAATCATGAGGCATTTCAGACACTGCATCGCTCCAATCTAGGAGCACAGCAGTTGCTATCACAAGCAACTCTCTCCCATCAGAAACAATAAAAATCAAAGTGACAGAACAGGAATAAGCTGTTGGCTGCAAACAAGCAGCAGGGACCGTCACCTTCTTGCAAGAAGTAGGAATGAAGAGTTTTCTGAAAGGAACAGCATAAACAGCGCAAGGAGCTGGAGCGAATAACCCAACTGTGGCTGAGAACAGAGGATTTTGTCTTTCCTCCCAGTCTAGCCCAGCTGTACGGCACTGAACGTCACCTAAAACTTATCAGCTGCCTTTGTTTCCCACTACTCAATACTTCTTTGTAGTCTTTTATTTCAATTGAGCCAATGCACCACAAAAAATTGAAGCCACAAAACTCCCCACCACACTCCCAAACCTTTACAAAATGATGCCACACTTGGGTACCTAACCTACACCTCCTCCTCCTCGCAATGCCGTGACCAGCTATAACCACAGAATCCATACGTGCAGTGGCTCTCCTATGGAGGTGAGCATCACAAACCTTACTCTCAACATTTTTGCCCTAGAACTTATAGAAATAACTGCAGAACATTTCTTTTCAAATACCTCCATTTCTAATGGAAGGATTATGGCTTAATATGGACAAACTGTCTGAGCTCTTCCAAACACTGCAACAGTTCTTTCTTGTTACAGCCACAACATACATGTGGGGGAAAACACTCAGGCCTTCACACTGAAGTCTCAGGTGCAACAGAAGGTACCGGGTCCTCCTCTTCAGGGTGTTCCTGAACTACTGTCTGTGCATGCCAAAATACTAAGTGCTTTGGAAATGCTGATTGACTGTAGATAATGAGATTGCAGAGATTGCAATTATCCACTGGAGCTGCAGAGGCTTGAGCTCATGTTGTTTATTAGGCATGTCTTAACTTTATAATACAGATGCAAGACATGACCCTGCTCTGCAGGCCCAAATCAGATGCCTATGCCACAGAAAGCACTTTGAACAAGCAGAGATACCTACCGCACAAGAAGGGACAACAATGCTTTGTCAAGTGCCAGACATGATGTGATTTAAGATCTTTTCCTGGGTTTTAACTTCTATATTCTTGCATGCATTACCTTCTAGAAAATCCAAGTTTTCCTGCCTTCCACATGAGATCTGAGAAAAACTTTTAACAGACCTATCAGCAGTTCTGTCTATTCTTTTGAATCCAAACTCCCATAAATACCAAGCCTAGTACTTCCCCCACTGAGTATGCCTTCTGTCAGGCCTTAGAAATGAAGAACCACTGTTGCCTCCCAAGAAAGAGGCAAAGAACACAAAAATTAAATGATTTGTCCAGTGCCATCCAGGAAGTTTGTATTGCATTTCCAATGGAGCTCATATCTGAAACTCAATGAACCCGAAACTTTAATTCACCATTTTCCATTTTAAAACCCCACCAAGAAGTCAGTGGTTCTGCAGTTCATGAATTCAAACACCGGACCTCATGATCCTCAGGTTGCCAATGACATACTGTGTATGCAATGGCTTCAGACAGCTGGCAAGCTATCCACCTTATTTTCCTCCCATACTCTAATATGAGATTTTAACTTGATGTATTAAGGTGGAACGGTCACCTTCAGGGTCTCAGGTAGACCATAAGAGAGAAAAAGGAAAAAAACAAAGGAAGAGGGTAGAGAGGGGAGTTCTCCAGCTTCTCACTAGACTACTCTGATATCAAAAGATGCCACAAGACAATTATGTTACCTAACTGAGTAGTTTTTATTTTCTAGTCATGGTATTCCCCACTACTCCCCTTTTCCACCACTCATCTAATACACAAACTGACATGTTACACCAATTGTAGCGAGAAACCAAGAAATGCATTTCTCATCTCCTCAGATCCATGCTTACATCTGTGCTTACACAGCTGAGGTGAGACTCAGGATACAGCTTCCGTGATACAAGGACTTCCACCCTGGTCTACAAGGGAACAGGTGTCCTGTGGTAACCTAGTACTCCCTCCATCAAACAATGGCACGCGCCTCAAGGGAGACATACACGTGGTAGCATCTTCCAAGTGATTTGCGGATGAGGAATTACTTGAGCCAGAAGTATTGCCTCTATCTGTTAAGCCCTGTAACTTCAGGAGGCTGAATAATCAGAACTCCAAAAGGGAAAGGTGGAATAGCTACACCCTTACTGCTTGGATCAAGGAAGAAGATGCTATTGACTTAAAAGCTACAGACTAGATTCTCTTCTCAAACCAAGATTAACTTGACTGAGTAAAGGAGTTAACTGGGAGCATGAAATGAGAATCAGATATTCTCAGCCTGAAGGTTTTGTTACCAGATATTTTTACTTAATGACTAACACCGCTTCGCCCTGCTTGTGCTGGTTTGATTCTTATTCACGTGTCCTTTAGCTTGAACTAAGGAGATGAATGATAAACTCCAACTGTCGGTTTTCATGCAGTAAGCTGATGTCATGATTAGATCACAAGCTCTTCGGATAACAAAAAGCCCTAAAATAGAGGATTGTGTCATTGGAGGTTTGGCACGTACCCATGTTATAAACACACACGTACTTGCAGAAATACTTCTCTGCTCTTAAAGTGTTATGTCTCTCTCTGCATTCCTTTTGAGCCAATTATCCAATGTTTTACTTTGGTTAGGGGTCAGATAAATGCAGAAAAGGACTTTTATTTGTACATATTATATCTCCCCAGAGATTTAAACAAGCTCTCTGCTGAAAGACACTTCCCAATGTACCCCACAGTGCTCTACTGAATGTCTGGCAACCACAGCAAAGTCCTGCTGCCACGGCTGCTCTACTACAATGAAAACATTCAATAGAGATGATAAACATGCATGTGTCAGAAACCACTACAGCCACCCTACAGGGAGCCCACGGTTGAAAACTATCAGGCAAACATTGAAGTTCCACAACTGAATCATTTTCTGGAAGCCCCAAGAGCACCATGAAACATCCAGCATCATACTTTTCTCTTTCTCCCTGAAAGCACACAGGCCCAGCACAGACAACAGCAAGTAAAATGCTTACCAAATTCATAGACTTTTTTACATTTGGTCTCCAGGTCGTCTATGAGGTCCTGCAGCCGACACTGCTTGGCTAACCTCTTGCAATCATTTACATATTCGACGTCGATATCAAGACGACCTGCCAAGAAGAAGTGCAGCCAGCTCTTTTAACCTATACAACTTAGGTGTCAAAATGGCAAAACTAGGGATTGAAGACTTGATGGCACAGAAATGCAGTAATTAGGCACACTGACTCACTTCTCAGCATCCAGTTACAACTCAATGCAAGAAGCCAAGACTTGGTACTCCACTGCCCACCACTCTGATGAATCCCAGTCTGGCATCTCACTCACATTCCCATCTTCCAACGTCTATCCTAACAGCTTCATTCAATAGGCCAAACAGCAAACAGCCTGATACAAAAAGTGTTTAATTCCCTCAGAAAAGAGGGGCACAACAGCAGTATGCATGACTGCCACCACTGGCTACCTGGTCTAGGGTGAGAAAGGACTTTAGGCTCATGAGCTGTCATCTCAGAATCTTTTACCATCACTGAAAATGTGGCAAGGAACGCGTCTGAGAACACTGGACTGGGGAAGGAGAGCTTTGAACATAAAGTTATTTTATGGCACCACCTCGTGGCCTGAAATAGTTCAGCAGTTAGCATGCTGACAATATAACATTTTGCACTTTCACAGAAGGTTTAGGATCAACTTCTGTTTGGAAAAAAATATTAGAAAGTAGTCAAATGGTTCAGCACACACTACTCGGGTCTGCCAGACTGAAAATGTCCTACATGGGAACCTGGCTTTCCCCCAGCTTAGGGGACTGTTATCCCAGATGACAGATTTACCTTCCTTAAGTTAAAATTACATTCTCCACAGCCATCCAACCAATCAACCCAAGCTAATTTTTTTTTTTTAATTGACTACATAGTTATTGGCAGGACAACAACTGGCAAAAGGTACAAACAACTTGGAAGAGCAGGGGATTGCTCACACTCTCCCCTTCTGCCAGCAGAGAGGATGCGTCAGGGACGCATGCACCCAAACGGGGCTGTCTGCAAGGCTCTGCCACCCAAACTGTGCCGTGGTGGAGGCATGGAGAGCTGCCCACCAGCTGTGTATACATACACCAGACAGTAAGTCATTTACCTGTGTATAGATACTGCAGAAGAGAGCCAAAAGCTGCTGGATTAATCTAAAATAAAACACAAGACAAAAGTTACCTTTAAAATTCCCAGGAACCTAATCCCAAGCTTGAAACTTGCCTGGATACAAACCTGATCCTGAACAAGTAAAACAAAAAAGTTACTTAAAAAGCAACTCAGCCACTGCACCCAAGTTCCTTGCTCCTCTACTGCTGCCACTCCACCTGGCTTCCACAGCTCTTGTATCAACTGACACTAATCCATGTTCCCGGGGGACATGACCAGACTAACGGAGGTGCTCCAAAGGCACAATTAATCTATAGGCTCTGTAAAATCCAGTCTTTAGCTGGTTGCAACCATTTCCAACTCTTAATTTGAAAGGAAAGACGTGTTCTTGTAGAAACTACAAGGAGAGACATTAAGGAGTGTCCTGAGAAACTGGAAGTGTGTTTGTCATGAGAGGTTTTGCACAGCCACAATCAAGCTATGGAAACATATGTCAGAGTATTGGTGATTAATGGATGGAATGCACTTATGGCCTATTTAGTTCCTGCTGCAAAGGCAACAAAAGGGACTCAATTAGTGCCAATTATGGAGGTGATGTCTTTGCTACAGACCACCTGTCCACCAGGAATTAGACTCAACTCATTCCACAGAGGAGCTGTGACGCAGCTGGCAGATGGTAACAGCTACCTGCTACTGCAATTAAGATATGATTGAGGCCATGACAGAGGTAACAAAGGGGAAGTACACAGTCTACAGTCCTCTGTTATCCCAGTAAGATGCTACTTTACTGCATAAAGTGCCTTCACAAGCCCCTCTCCTTGACTAGGGTCATTCTGAGCTCCAGGAGCTATCCACTGTGGAAGTTAATTCCCAAACTGTCCTTCCCCTCCCTTTTCTCACCCAGCTGAAACAGGAAAAGAAAGGAAAGAGCTAGCAGCACAGCCTTGCTCACCAGGGGATGCTTCAGCACTATCATGTTCTTCCCCTTCCATTTGGTCTCAAACATTTCCGCAAAGTAGGCGCTGCGAGCGCCGAGAATGCAGCGGTGGGCACAGAAGGATTTGCCGTGAACAATGAAGACGATGTCGCTTTGGTAACCCTGCTCCAGCAACCTGTAAGGAACAGAGAGGGGAAATTCATTGCAGAATGAGAAAGAAGAGAATGAGTAAAGCTAGCGGGGGACAGGGTACAGTTAGGTCTAAATGAACACCACGGTCTCTCCCTGCCCAGCTAGAGGGCCAGCACAGGGACTGGCACTTCACACACCAGACTGGGATCTCTCACTCCCTCCAATGACTCAAAGAAGTTTCGTTAGTGCAAGAGGAAGGCTGGAGAATGAAACCTTCCTGCCTCAGGTGAACCCCTGAACACAGGGAACAGATTTTAAAGAGGAACTAGTTGCCCCCAAACACATCTCTAAAGGTTAATCCTGCTTTTAAATTGCCAAGTGACAAAAAGCCCAACAGAAGCACACGCTTTCAAAAATAATTACACCACTCCAGAGTAGGGTGCAACTTTTCCTCTTCCCTGGGAACTGTCAGTGTGCATGCTTTAACCATGTAGCCGACGGGGGAGGACTGATGTCACCCACCCTCAGAAGACGGAAGGATGTTACAAGCATGACATGCAAGCAGTTGCCACATCAGAGACGTGGCCTTGTTTATGACTGCATGCCCACACCCTCGTTCTTTACCAGGAAAGCAAAAGGTTTACAGCAACCGTCACCAGTGTTTCCTACTGCCCATCACCCTGTGCACACATATCCTCACAAACACCCCTCAGAGGTCAAGCTGGACAGACACCAGGCAACAGAGTCCTTCTAAAGAGCAGGACTGGTGCACAGAAAGGTGTGAGGTCACACAGGGAGATGTTAGAGCAGTGTCTTGAATGCTGATCTCAGTCTCCTGCCACTAGAACACCCTTCCTGCTAGTGTCTTGCCCAAATAAAACAGCAGCAGCTAGGTGGTTGTGCTTTGCCCCCTACTGCTGCCCTTTGTTTCAATTTTAACACAAGGTCTGTCTGGAATGAGAAGCAGAAAACAGTGCATTTCAGTTCTCGTGTGCATTCAACCCTGCAAGATCTGAGCCACAGACTCACCAGGGGAGTGATAAATCACCTTGCAAAATTCTGCTTCGCTGAAAGGCAGAATCTGATTTTACTCAGATAAATGAGTTTCCTTCCTCCCCTGTTTCCCCACAGCTTGAGAAATTAGGACTCTGTAGTAAGAGAGTAACAGATCTTTCTAGGACTTATTTGCCCTCCAGTTTTGAAGACAGAAATGCTGAAACCTTGTTTGGTTCTTCTGTTTTGCTGTTGCTGAAGTCAGCCCCGTGGGAAGAATAAGAAAGAAAAAAAAGTCTGTGTAATAACATCAGAAGTACCAGGATAGAAAAACAGCAAGAAGAAAAGATTGACACTATTTCTCCACTCCTGGAGCAAGTTAGGCTTCTCAAGCTCTAGGCTAAGGCTACAAGGTGTGACAGGCAACTTTTCAGCAACATCTTAAAATTAACACATTTTAACAAACAAAAAGAAAGAACGGAGCACTGTCCCTGTCAGTCAGTTTGAGGCTTCTTAAGGTGCTCTGTCTCAGCAATAAGTCACCTATTACCACTGCTGGAAACCTCAGCTCACAGACTACAGCACTTCAGGCCTGAAACTTAATTTCAGATGCCATATCCGAAATTCCTGGTGTGGTTTTATGGATCTGATTTTGCTCTGACAGTCAAGGATGACAGAGCTTCTGCATTAGAAAGACCAGCTTTCTGTTGGCTCTGGTGTCTGTACCTAGGTGACTAGAGGCTATACTTTAAACGTACGCATACCTGAAAGTCATCTCTTAGGGCACAAAGAAACATCCCTTAGGAAGTTCTACATGCCCGGGAATGAGACAGGGTACTCATCAGCTGCCTTTCCAATCTGACCTTAACAGAGAGCTTGACCATCCAGGTTAACAGCTCAGGAAGGATGACAGAATGGAGCTGCCTCATGTGCTTACCGCTGCAGGAAGACATCGTAGTAGTCTCTCTTCATGCATTTCGCTGTGATCTGCTTGTACTCCTTCAGCAGACGTCGGATGGCATCACTCAGAGCTCCATACAAACAGCGTTCCCCATCAAAAGTGTTTGCCTCGCACCTCGCTCCTGCAAAATGAGGTACATGCCAGCAGGCGGAGTCGCATCCTCCTCAAGCGTCCCCAGATGGTCCCTAAAGGAGTATGACTTTTGGCTGCTGACAGGTTTCCCCGTGATCCCCTATGCTACTGAGCACAGTTACCAAAACTAAGCTCCCATTACACGTGTATAACCTAAAGCTGTTCTCCCAAAGCAAAACCCCTTCTGAAGAAGTCACGACTCACAAACTGATCATGGTAATCAGCCTCCCAGCATGGCTCCAGCAGTGTTCTGGGAAGAAGAGCCTCACTGTACAAAGAGTACGATCACTTACTGGACCTTTAACAGCTCCTCCTAAAAGGCATTTCTGCCTTGCACAAGGCAAGAGATGCCTCTGCAGGTCAGACTCTGCTAGAAATTTAGAGGGCACTTGCATTTTGCTATTTTAGAATTACACAAGTGGTTGATTAAGATGCTGTGAATGCAGCAGAAGACGAACCTTTCTCTGCACTCTGATTCCTCTGTAAGAACACAGAACATCACCACTACCTAAGGGAATTTGGGTGCTGGGAACCAAATGGGTAGGCACTTTGCCTGAAGAGTTTGTCTTGCTTTGCAAGACAAAAGCCCTTGCATTTCACCTTTGAGTCCTGTTTACAAAACAAGGCTATCAATAGTACAAGAAAGGTTTATACAGCCAGTTCTTCAGGTGAAGTACAATTCTTCCACCAGCATCCTCTCAACAGCAATGCACCTTCACAAAACATCAACTGCGATTTCAGAAAGTCATGCTGCCTTGAGTCATCAGAGGAAGCTTTCCTGTAGCAAATTCAAGCAGCAAATGGCCTGCAAAAGGGACCATGAAAGTGTGTCTGGGGCTCCAACTGCAACCTGAGACCACTGATCAGATGGTTGGTTGTAACAGAAGTTTCCACAAGGGACAGCTAGAAGCGTGTACAATCCCTACAGACCAGTATGGAGAAAGATACCGCACCCATAACCGGGACACTTCTGCTCACCATTAGCTAGAAGATAGCGTACAAGCTCCTCGTGTCCACAGAGGCAAGCATAATACCTGACAATAACAAGAGAAAGAAAATCAGAGATACAGTCGGAAGCAAAATGCAGTGTTTGGGCACACCATAGCATGCAGACCTCAGCACTGAGCCAGCCCTGAGAAGCTTAGAAGATGGGTCCTCAGGAGTGAGGAATTGCTACTGAATAGCACAGAAGCCTGGCCCCAGCAACAGACTAAGCCTTGCCTGTTCCCAGCACTCCCAGGCAGTGCTGTCCTGCAAGGAGATCTCAAGGTCCCACTCTGGATTCGGCATCTTCTGCTGCACCACCAGATGCCAAACCCATCCTCATTTGCATGGAGTTCATTTCATGGACACTCAGCAATTCCACTGAATTCTCAAAAACACTCCTTGCTCCTTCTGTCGTCAGCCTGACTGCTGCACACTGATAACGAGGGAACAACACCCACGCCGGATGCACAGCAAATCCACCCCTCAAAGTCTTACGTACAATGAATTTAGTTTTCTCTTTCGCAATCTAAGCCTTTCACAAGGACCTCAAACTGTCCTACAATCCAGGAGAAACCTGTAACCTGCACTGCAGGAGGCGAATGTTAGTCTACCTTTACTTTGGGAAGTTATTACATACTCTAAATATATTGCAGTTGTCTAAATGCACTTTGGAACTGGTATGCGGGGAGGTAAAAAGCTCACAGCACCCTCCTCAGCACCAGCACGGGGATCCCTCACTACCTACTGCACGTTCACAGCCTTGCCAGACAGACTGCGATCCCACAGTCACTTTGTATTTCACCAAGCCAAGCCTTCACCTGAAAAGACACGCTAGAATGTCACAGACTTTGAGAGGGGCAAAGCCTAATCACACCAAGAACAGACTGCTTGACCCAGGTTATTTGGTAACAAAATTAACCACCCTTCAGAGCATTACCACAGCAAACATCAGCTAGATGAAGAGACAGACATCTTTAGCTCAGCACCTGCAGAGTGTACAGCAGAAGCAGAAACATGTAGCCAAATCTCCCAAAAAGCAGAACCTGAGATGTTTTGTAACAGTGCTCCTAGCTGCTGATGCAGAGAGAGGAAAAGAGCTCTGAAAGCCCTCCCCTCCCTCCCAGCCAGCGTTCTGGGCTGCAGCACTCACAGAGGTGTACTGTCCCACTTATCACGGACATTAATTTCCACATCTCGCTGTTCAAGAAGGTATCTGGAAGAAAAGGGAGAGCAAAGTTATAACTTCATGCAGCTGCTCACTCAGTCACATCTTCCTCTTTCAAAAGATGTATCTGTCAGTTTATACAGTAACTTCCAAAAGCACCACAAGACCTTGCCTTCAACTTGAGCTGTCAGCTGTGACTGAAGAAGCATCAGTCAAATCCTCAACCCAAAGAACAGCGTTCTGCAGCACGGCTTGACAGCGCCCTTCCATTTTAAGTGGTGACCACGGGGAGAGAGGGGAAGCAAATGCACCTGCTGACTCCTAACAGGGCAGCAATCACAAAAGAAGCCTGAGCGCTTCAGCAGTACCTTCACATCCTCCAACAATGCTCACAGCATGGATGCTTACAAACCAGGGGCCAAGTTTACTAGGCCAAGGCTGGACTCCCATCCTGCCTGTGGCTTTTCTTGCCACAAGTAATAACATCAGTGTCACTCCAGGCTGCTCTTAATTCCTGCCACTTCCTTGTCCTGCACGTTTAGGCTATATCGAATGCTGCCAACACTCCGTCTTTGGCACCTCTGGAAGCCAGCCTTTGCCTTGCACAGGAACCTCCTATGCAGTCTGGCTCCTGCTACAGCCTGTCCCAACCACTGCAACAACCATCTCTCCTAAACACACATAAAAGTCCCCCTCAGTTTTCACAGAGATTCGCAAGGTGTTTCTCATCCGCCACATCAGTCCCCCCTCTCATTCCCTGCATCTTTCCTGCCTCAAACTTCAGCTTCCTCTGACCACACTCAAAATCGCAGGCAACTCATCTCCTTTTCACTCAGCCCCACGTGCTCAACTTGTCCCCTCCACTTTGACAGGGTTCCCAGACCGATCGTCTCTCTGCTGTCACTCCTATACTGGTCATCTTAAACCTGCAAGGCCCCTCCTTCTACAATGAACCTGCAATTTACTGCTTGCAATAAATTAACTGATAACAATGTTGTTCAGACCTCATCCATCTGCCTACTTATCCTGTGTTAGCAAGTACCTTGAAACAGAAAGGCTCTTTCTGATTATCTGGGGAGATCCACATGTTGGAAACTAGAAGAATCATGCAGGATCAAAAGGTGAAATGTATTCTTAGACTCAAACCATGAGATGCAGCAGAAGTGCTTGTTGTAAATGCTGGCCTTTGCGTTACAACATCCGTTCACCCTGCAGACAACAAGCCCGTCTGACTCCTGATCCAAAATGACTGCAGCTAAGCCGTACTGCTTCAACATGAGCAAGGAGACTTGACCTGAAATTCAGCAGCCTGGTATTTTTGGGAGATACTAGCACAGTCTACAGCACAGGTGCCTAAGTATTTCCACGATGATCACTTTCCAGAGATCCAGCTTCCTACCAGCGCACATACAGTTTCCAACGGCAGAGAAAAAGCAGCTGAGACTGCTGCAAGGACATCTGCCCCAGGCAGCTTTCCTACCAACGAGGTACGCAGTAACGGCCTGATGCTCAGATGGCTGAATTTTAGGAAGACAGGCAAACCTTACACCAAACTAAGGACAGACTCAGTGCACACCCAGTGCTTTGGGGAGAAAAGCCAGGCACGTTTACTTACACACAAACACGCCCCCCTTTTCAGACCCCAGTTACCTCCTGGCACCGCGGCTGCCCTACCGAGACCCAAGGCTGCGAGAGCCGCTGGCTCAGTGGCCAGGGAAGGCCGGGCAGGGGCTTCTGGCCAAGAGGACCCCGGCCCGGGGGCGGCCGCACGAAAGGACCGCGTCACGGCGAGGGCAGGCTGGCCCCCGCAGGCCCAGGCCCACT